GGAAATGAAAAAATAACTGAAGAAGGAAAAAAAAAAAAAGATATTTATAGACACTTCCTGAGCACATCTTTAATTATTTACTTAGAGTTAATGGTGACAATGCTGGGTCTCTCAGGATGTGCATATTTTTCGAGTTCTTGATCTACATTGTCAAGTTAAACTAGAAAGGCTGGAGCCATGTATATTTTCACAAGCAGCGTATAACCTGTCCAGTTCTTATTAAATCTCCCCTCTTTAGTCCATAAAGGTAGAATAATCCCACCCAAAATTCTAAAGGAATATTTGAATACGCCCAAATGAGCTTGAAGTTCATCTGGAAAGTAAGCATGCAAAAATGTCCACGAAATGGTAGCACTTACCCCGCTGGATGTTAAAATGTGTTACCAAACTTTGAAAAATCTGAACAACTACAAGCCAGCACCAGAATCAACAGATCAGAACAAAAATTCTAAAAATTAGGCTAGCCTGTATGTGTGTTTATGTGCAAATCTGCATAAAGTGCTAACAACGGGATTTCATATTGGTGGGGCAATGATGGATTCGTCAAAAAGTAACACCAGGACTATAACATAAGGGGAGAGTTAATCATGATCTCTCTTCAAACTTAAAAAAAAAAAAAACCCAAAATGTTAAAATTAAAATTAAGTCAAAAACATAAAACATAGGTGAATTTATATAATTCTGAGGTAGGGAAGGCCTTTATTTTTAATATTATTATTATACTTTATGTTCTGAGGTACATGTGCAGAACACGCAGGTTTGTTACATGGGTATACACATGCCATGATGGTTTGCTGCCTCCATCCCCGCATCATCTACATTAGATATTTCTCCTAATATTAGCCCTCCCCAATCCCCTCACCCCCTGCTATCCCTCCCCTAACTCCCCACCTCCCGAACTGACAGGCCCTGGTGTTTGATGTTCCCCTCCTTTTGTCCATGTGTTCTCATTGTTCAACACCCACTTATGAGTAAGAACATGAGGTGTTTGGTTTTCTGTTCTTGTGTCAATTTGCTGAGAATGATAGTTTCCAGATTCATCCATGTCCCTGCAAAGGACATGAACTCATCCTTTTTTGTGGCTGCATAGTATTCCATGGTGTGTAAGTGCCACATTTTCTTTATCCAGTCTTTCACTGATGGGCATTTGGGTTGGTTCCAAGTCTTCGCTATTGTAAAGAGTGCCGCAATGAACATATGTGTGCATGTGTCTTTGTAATAGGATGATTTATAAACCTTTGGGTATATACCCAGTAATGGGGCAGGGTCAAATGGAATTTCTATTTCAAGGTCCTTGAGGAATCGCCACACTGTCTTTCACAATGGTTGAACTAATTTACACTTCCACCAAGAGTGTAAAAGTGATCCTATTTCTCCACATCCTCTCAGCATCTGTTGTCTCCTGATTTTTAATGATCACCATTTTAACTGATGTGAGATGATATCTTATTGTTATTTTCACTTGCATTTCTCTAATGACCAGCGATGATGAGCTTTTTTTCATATGTTTGTTGGCTGCATAAATGTCTTCTTTTGAAAAGTGTTTGTTCATATCAGGAAGGCCTTTCTAAGGCTGGTACTAACAGCAGAAATTACAAACAAAATAATTGCTTGATTTGTATTTCGTGAACATGTAGAGAACCATAAAGTAATTTTTAAAACAATTAAAAGGCCGGGTGCGGTGGCTCAAGCCTGTAGTCCCAGCACTTTAGGAGGCCGAGGCGGGTGGATCACGAGGTCGGCAGATCGAGACCATCCTGGTCAACATGGTGAAACCCCGTCTCTACTAAAAACTACAAAAAATAAACTGAGCACGGTGGCGTGTGCCTGTAATCCCAGCTACTCAGGAGGCTGAGGCAGGAGAATTGCCTGAACCCAGGAGGCAGAGGTTGCGGTGAGCCAAGATCGCTCCATTGCACTCCAGCCTGGGTAACAAGAGCGAAACTCCGTCTCGAAAAAAAAAAAAAAATTAAAAAAATAAAAAGTATATTTGTGGAAGACATGTCAGGCAAAGATTCAGTACACATAATGTACTAAAAGCTTCTACAAATTAATAAGGAAATTATAAAATATTGACAAACTATCAGCTTGCAAATGGGAATAAGTTTCTCTCATATTTTAAGAAATGAAACATTTATATTTCTCTGTCATAGTTGTTGCCATGAAGTTAATTATTTTAATTCTTCTTTAATTTCTTGTTGTTTCTTATGTAAAATATTTTTGTCCTAGAAGTATAATTCATTGAACTTTGTGACTTCAATTTTTTCATGAAATTTGATGATCAATTGGATTTTCTGGGAAGTTTTGACATTATTTGTTTTCTATAATTTCCATAATTTGATGTTTTAAGTTTTTAATATATTTGGAATTTATTTGTATACTATGCGATGTGGAGCTAATTTTATTCAAGATTTAATGGTTCTAAAATAATGCATTAGGTGTTAATTCTTTTTCAAATTTTTATATTATATAGTGATAGACATTTATTTATTTAACACAATTTATTGAGAATTTTGATGAGCTGTGTGGTTGTTTTGCAAGCATAACAATTTTAATTGTTGTAGCTTTAAAACATATTTTTATATCTAGTAGTACTATCAACCTCAAGAGTAACTCCTTTTACATTTTTTCTGCATATCTATATTCATTCTGTTTTCCTAAATCTGTTTTGTAAAGTTCCAAAAAGTCTTGACATAGATGTATTATAGATGCGAGTACAGGTGAAAGTGTAGATATATATTGATAGCTGGAGAATATATGTTAAAATGGATGGACAATTTGGTGATGAGAAATAGGTTAAAATTTGCAGAACATAAGGTAAAACTTATCTGATGATGTCCCAGTTAGAGTCAAGGGCACATCAGATGGATCAGCCTTGGAGATAATGCAGACGATGTCTTCTCATCAGGAGAGAAGGAGATGAGGAAGTGGGGTGTATTAGTTCATTCTTGAGTATTTTTCGGGTAGCAAAGATACTATCTAAGCCTGGGTAACTTATAAAGGAAAGTGGTTTAATTGACTCACAGTTCCGTATGAACTGGGGAGGCCTTAGGAAACTTACAATCATGGCTGAAGGGGAAACAAACATGTCCTTTTTCTCAGGGTGGCAGGAAGGAGAATGAATGAGTACCCAGTGGAAGGGGAAGCCCCTTATAAAACCATCAGATCTCATGAGAACTAACTCACTACTGAGAGCAGGATGAGGGTAACTTCCCCCACCATTCAATTATCTCCACCTGTTCCCTCCCATGACACGTGAGGATTACAAGAACTACAGTTCAAGATGAGATTTCGGTGGGGACACAGGCAAACCAGATAGGGGGAAACGGAGACCTGTGGTTGCCAGAGGAGGCCACATCTGAGACAGCATCCTTCCCAGGAAACTAAGATGCTCAGCAGAATGCAGAAGAAACTGGTTCCAATGGAAATATTGTCAAAGAAAATGGCATCACAAAAGGGAACTTTTGCAAAGATGTGTTGGGGTGGAAATAGCAATCTCTTTGAGGGAGGAAAGAGCAATCTCTTTGCAAAGAATGCACACCTGAAATGAGCTGGCGAGTGCACGGTGGTATTACAGAGAAGAAGCTGGAGATTATCCCACAGGGAGGTATGACCTCGATTTTATGGTTATATAATATTTCAATAATGCATGTGCATGCTGCACTCTAAGAACAAAAATTCCTTATCTCCGATGTAAACCTAGAGTGCTGGTTACTGCACACCATTTTTGGGGCACATCTCTGGCTTAATGAACATGCCCTTAGGAAAGATTCAGGGTAGATGCTGAGATTGCCATGGGGGGCTTTCTTCTCGCTAGGAGTGGAATTCTGTGAGCGAAAGTACAGAAAAAAAGGAGGTCAGGAAAAAGTGGAGAATAAGAGAAGGCGACAAGAAGCTCTGGGCTTCTCTTCTAGAACTCTGTTCAGAGACATGAGCTCATGCATTTTCATAATGTTCTTATGAGTAGGAAGCAGTTATCACCACCTGAGCTTGACAGAGGGGAGAGCAGGTCCATAGAGCTCAGAAGGCCTCTCTTAAGAGGAGACAATTTGTTAATATACTCAGGGATATAACAAAGTGGTTTAGTAGCCTCTTGTGTCTACATAGCCTTAAAGAGAGGGGTCGTTATTTTTAAAGAAAACAGACTATCATCATTGACACAAGACAGTGAGATATTTTACTAGTTTAATTGATTTTCTTGCTCTCACTGCATCAAATTAATGTATTGTACATGTCGACAGAGACCCAGAAAAAAAAGCTCTAACCGTCAGTCAGCCACAGCATCATTTCAGGTTGAAAAGTGGTTTCAGCTCATGGCTTAGTGCCTGGAAGGAAATGTGAATCCCTGCTCAGAGGAAGGTGTGCTTTGTCCAGCAACGGGAGTGGCTTTGGAGCTTATCATTCAAATTTGTCAGAATGGAGGATGATCTGGTAAAGAGGCCAGGTGTTTACATGAAAGAGCCAATGGTCAAGTGATTGGAGAGGGGAGAATTTGCTGTGCGTGGGGCAGAAGCTCTGGCTGTAGCCTCCCCGTGGCACCTTGCCCATCGGCACAATCATGGAGATCTGCCAGGAGGCTCACAGCCTCGCTTTTGGGTGTGCACTACAGAACATTCACCCAGATCTCAATAGAGGAGCATGTGGTGGTGGGGATGCTGAGAAAGCCCACATTGATACCTTCATTAAGGCTCCCAACACTTCTGCAGCTGAGCAACATTTAACGTACGTGCTCCTAGCATTCATTTTGGAAATGCAAGCTTTCATGATGGAGGAGAATGCGAGTCTCTTCATCGCCACCCCCAAAATCCAAGGGTTCTAGTGTCAGGGACTGGCAGATTTTCCAAAGCACTGGAATTTTTCCCCCTCAAAGAATAGCACAGCTGAGATTTTAACTATATGTTAGCCGGAGAGTCTAAATTAGATTGGGAAGGTTTGAGTGATTTGAAGAAAGAATAAGTTTTTGTTTATTTTCTTTTTCCTTTTGTATTTTTCCCCAGCAGTACTGATGTGGCATTCCAGCTATTTGGCAAACCAAGCTGCACCCCGGAGCTGATAGTTACCAAGGTGCTTTGCCCATAATTGCCGCCCAATAAAGAGTTGACTGGTTGATCACTTATTTACATGCTGTGTATTTTTTAACTTTCTTCAAGCATCAAGCAGATTTATAGCAGACCCAACGCCACAGTAGGTCAGCATTAGGGGCTAATCAATTTTAGTATTTGTGCAGTGCTGTTCTCTTAACAAAGCATACTCACTCTCATCTAATTCCTTATTCCACACATGACAACTCTGGAGACCATTAATCAGGGCTCAACAAACTTGGTTTGTAAAGGTCCAGATTGTAAATACTTAAGGCTTGAGGCCCAAATGTTCTCTGTCTCAACAACTCAGCTCTACCACTGTCATGTGAAAGCAGCCTTAGACAATAGGTAAATGAATAGCTGTGACTGTTCCAATAAAACTTTATTTAAAAAAACGTATTGAGCTAGATTTGACCGTGAGCCAGTGTGCCAGTCCCTGAGTACTGAAAAGCCAACATTGCCCATTAAGAATCCAATGCCCAGTGACGTTATATCTTGCTTAAGTCCGCCTGCACTATAAATCATCTTAAAGGACTTTTTTTTCTTTTGTACTTCTAGTTTTAGATTCAACTGTAATAGTTTATTATAATCAATGTTTGGTAACCACAATGACTCCAACCTCACTCTGTCAAGATCTAGATGGTTCCTTACCAAAGTCCTTTCCCATTGTGCTGGTAGAAGTGATTCATTCAAGAAATTAACTAAAGAGGGAGCAGCATGGCTCAGAGTCCCGAAGCCAAATGCTGTTGTTAAGAACTGTGAATGGTGCCCGGTCTGCCTACGGAGCTTCACATGTGCCTGTGCTGTACCTGTTGGACACACTCCTCACACAACCCTGCTAGACGGTCACTTGCTCTCCTTTCATTTTAAAGATGAGCAAACCCAGGCCCAGAGCAGTTAAAAGAGCTCCTCAAGGTCACCCACAAGGTTATGTGCAGTTGCACAGGGCCCCATTTTCCAAAGGGGACCCTTCATGATTGTGTTAATGTGCTGCTATTGCCACTTTGAATTCTTAATAAATTTTGAACTGGGCTCTGTATTTCCGCTGGGTTCTGCAGATTATATTGTTTCCTGGCTACACAGCCAAGAGTGGAGCTGGGATTCCAACCCAACTCCATCAAGCCCTTCTTAATTCTGTGTGTTCTCACCATTGACCCCCAAGTGATTGCACTGAGGGGAGATTTTGTTATCATGAGCTCAGCTTCACTTGGGTGATATATATGCAGGGGCTAAACGGAAATGTGTTCAAGGAACCAAATCTGTTTGACTCATGTAAAACATACAGAACTCAACACAAATGCTTTTTAATATGTGATCCCAAAGGTCACAGAAAGTAGTTTACATTTGTGTGGTGTGCTTTCATTACGTGACATAATCCCTCTCATTTCCCTGTAAGTGGATATTACTATCTCAAGTTTCAGGTGAAGAAACTGAGGCCCAGAAAAAGTTAAATAACTTGCAAATGGGAGACAGCCAATCCAGCTGCATATCCAATTTTTCTCTCTTGAAATCAAAAGGATCCCTTTTCCAGGGTTCACCTCAATATCCAGGTTTATAAATGATTCCTGGAATGGGATATAACTATTTCCAGGTATGCAGACTCACACTAATGTCTGCCAACAAATTAAAGAAAAGAAAGCCGGGCGCAGTGGCTCATGCCTATAATCCCAGCACTTTGGGAGGCTGAGGTGGGTGGATCATGAGATCAAGAGATCGAGACCATCCTGGTCAACATGATGAAACCACGTCTCTACTAAAAATATAAAAATTAGCAGGGCATGGTGGCGCAGCCTGTAGTCCCAGCTACCTGGGAGGCTGAGGCAGGAGAATTGCTTGAACCCAGGAGGAAGAGGTTGTGGCGAACCGAGATCGCGCCATTGCACTCCAGCCTGGGTAACGAGCGAAACTCCGTCTCCAAAAAAAGAAAGAAAAGAGAAAAGTGTGCCATTTCCTTCCAAAAAGGAGCCCTGCCTTGCACTTCATCTGTTAGAGTAGATGATGTGGTGTTTTGTCTGTTGGGTGTCTCTAACAGACACCCTAGAAAGACAACTAGGAAAGCTGTGTGTGTACTCCAAAGGAGATGTTAAGTGGGGACCCCATCAAACTTAAGCAGAAGCAGGCATTTTTCCTGGAAAATACTCAGTCTGATGTGGCTGTACATTAGGTTTGGCAGTGCTGCCTCAGCAACAGCACAAAGAAAAGCCTGCCACCTCCAGATTCATGGCATGGATTTGCAGTCCATCAATCACGGGAAAAATTATTTCGATAAAGCCTTCTCCGGAAGTTGAAGCAAGGCCATGTGCACTTGAGGAGTCTATAATCTGGAAACCACAACTAGCCAACTTGCGAAGAGTAAATTCTAGGTGTTCAATATGACAGCTGCGTTCTCTCTGGGGTACTGAGGCATTCTGGTGAATTCACCGAGAATGTTGGGACTGCACTGACCACCGCAGGGGAGTCCCGGCTCTACCACTTACTCGATGTAAGTTACCTTTTATTGTGGTGCTTCAATTTCTTCAGCCAAAATGATGCTGATCATAACAATCTCATACATTTGCTGGAGGAAAAAAAGCAGACAATAGTAATATTTGAAAGCAAAGCATAAACATTAGTGAAAAAAACCCAGAGAGTAAACTGTAATAAAATAACATAAACGTTGGTCTTGCGTTTGCATTTTCAGACCCTGAAGGTGATCGCATTAAGACTGCAGGATTACCTGCAAAAAAAAAATACTGTGGAATTAAGGAACTCAGGGTCCCTGCAGGAAAGCGCTGGCATAGTCCAGAAGAGGCAACTGAAGAGAGTTTAATAAAGGGCCTATTTACAAGGGTGTGAGTAGGTTATGGAGACCAAAGGAAGGGTAATGCCTTTGGGTTTTCATCTGCCTGGAAGGTGGAACCTGAGAGAGCTACTGCTATAGGAGGGGACCTTAGACAGCACAGCCGGTACCAGATTGTGGGTTGGGAAGGATGGGGACGCTTGTCCTCACCTCATTCTCCTCTCATCATCTCCCAGGGGCTGAACCCAAATGGAAGCCAAAGGGCAAGGGAAGCCTTGGGTGCAGTTTCTAAGAGTCTGATTGTGGGGCAGAAAGCCAGGTGGAGAAGCGGGGAGAGTTGACTTGAAGAAGCACATAGAGAATATCTGGTGCAAGCGATGTTAAGAAGCAGTGACTCCCGAGTCTGGCTGATTTTTCAACTTCACTGGAGATCAATACACATACTATATGTACATATACATATCCATGCAGCCTTGGCCTTAGATAGGATAATTTTGAGAGCGGGCCTGAGGCTCCCCAGGTGATCCTGATGATTGTACAGATGTGGAAACCACGGAAAGATGTTCACCGAGAGCGCTTCCAACCCTGGCATGTGATAGATGAGCCACAACACATGTGCTGCACGAATGTGATCCCTTGAAGTGCCTGCCCGACTGCCTCCCACCCAGTTCAAAACAACCGATGCTGATTGCACAGCTGCAACACACAAAGCACTGTAATTAGTTTTTCTACATGGAATTTGCTCTCCAACCCCTGCAAACGTATGTGAGACAGGGTCCACAGTACTCAAGTTTTCTTCATTTAGTGAGAATAAAAGATTTTGGAAGAGTAAAAGATTTTTATGAAACTTCAAAGCAATAATAGGGAAAATGGTGTAAGCGATTAATTTGTGAGTGCAAACTAGGACCGATTTCACTGCTGGAGAGGGATAAGAGGAAAACTCATTCACAGCAGCTGGCAGAAGAGGTGACTCCTTAGTATCCCCATTTCACAGATCGGCATGCTGAGGCCCAGGAGGGGCTGCATCACAGCTTTCATGGGCCCTCCTCTGTAAAAATATATTAAAGATTGTATTTTGCCATTACATTGGTATAAAGACAGATATAATCCAGACTGAATTATATTCACTTATTTTCTTTTGATTAAAAAAATGTAAAGCACTTATGTGGGCTGCTAAAATATCATGGGCCTTAAGCACCGTGCCTCCTGTGCCGAATGGAGAAGTCAGCCCTGAGCGTTGGATGATGCACCCTCCCCCCCCCCCACACACACAAAGCTGAGAAACAAATTTCTCATCAGCTGTCAGGCTCTACAGCCTGGCTGCACCTTAGGAAAAGCTGGGTTGCTCCCTCAAATCCCCACTCTCGGCTGTTACCCAGACTGGTTAAGTCAGAATCTCTGAGTATGGGAACAAGGGACCAGACATCTGAGGTGATCCCAATGGGTAGACAAAGTTGACAGCCGTGCTTGAAAGTCCTCTGTCCCATGCTGCTGCCTTCTTAAGGGAGCAAAGAAGAGACTTACCATATCCACCAGCTGATACCTCCTGTGACTAGGGCAAGGATGCATATTTTATATCAATGCATACACCTCCATAATCTGCCCCTGCTGTTCTCTCCAGCCTTTTCTTCCCTTCTCAGGCTCTCACCACAGGGCTCCTCCCTGTCCTGGAAGAGATTGCGTGTGTTCCTGCGTTCGCTCACATGGTTTCCTGATGTGTAATTCTCCTCTTCCCCTACCTGGACTCAAGTGCAGCCATACCACAGCAGCAGGCCTTCTGCACCTTCTCCAGGTGATGGATGCCTCTGAACCCACGTGGTCTGCCTGCTCTCAGAGCCAGGCTCAGGGAGTGCCAGCTGGCAGCAGTGCCCTGGGCTTTCCAGGAGGTTGGGCAGTGGCTCAGGGAGGCAGCCCTGGAATCTGCTTTAGGACTGGGCTTCCTTTAGGCACTATCCCAACCAGCCAACCCCCCCACACCCCGAAAAAGAGGAGGACTCCACTGGGCTGATCTATCCCCTTGGTCACTTTCATATTCACTTTGGTATTATATTCTTTTGGGTCACTTCAGATTCATTTCACCTGAATTCAGATACTTGGAGAAGGGAAAGAGCCAAGAAGTAAAAGAACATTGGCCTATATTTTAAAAAAGAGCACATAGGTCAGGCGCTGTGGCTCACGCCTGTAATTCCAACACTTTGGGAGGCCAAGGCGGGCAGATCACCTGAGGTTAGGAGTTCAAGACCAGCCTGGCTGACATGGTGAAACCCCATCTCTACTAAAAACTACAAAAATTAGTTGGCTACGGTGGCGGGTGCCGCCTCTAATCCCAGCTACTTGGGAGGCTGAGGCAGGAAAATTGCTTGAACCTGAGAGACAGAGGTTGCAGTGAGTCAAGATCATGCTACTGCACTCCAGCCTGGGCAACAGAGGAAAACTCTGTCTCATAAATAAATAAATAGCATATAAAATCAGAATGATGAGTCTTCCTCCAGGAAGATCAGCTTTTAATGAAAGAAAATCTACAGAGCACATCACTTGAACTTAGCAGTATTTGTTTATTAATTTACTGTGTCATAAATCTCTTTTGTGTGTTAACAAGCATACGGAAATAAAGAGCCTTAGCTATCAACTGATCAGCTAAGCTGATGGCCCAATTAATATTACATTTTACTATGTTCTATACTCAATTGTAAGGACAGTTCTTCTCTTGTGTTTTCCTGCCATTCAAGTGAGTAAATAAGGACTCTCTTGTCATTCAAATAAAATCCAAAGAATATTCCCTTGGCTTACAGAGCCATGCATGAGCTGTTTTCCTGCTATGGCTGCAACTTAACGCCTTCCTCTCTTCCTCTTCGCACGTGGCTCCAGTCTCCTGACCTCCTGGCTCTTCCATGCCAAGCAGGCTCCCCCCACAGGACCTTTGCTCTCCTGGTTCCTTTTGTCTAGCAGGTTCTTCCCCAGCCGTGTCCACAGGGCTCACTTCCTCCCTTCAGTTAGAGTCTCTGCTCACATCTCACCTTCTCAGAGAGGGCTCCTCTGACCACCCCACATAAAGTGGCACCCTGCCTCCTCCACCACACACCTCTTCATCTACGTGATCGGTTTTTCTTCACAGCCCTCTTAGTGTGTTGAAAGGTGTTCTTCCCATCTCAGCTTTAACTGAGATGAGCACAATGGCCATCACTAGAGTGAACATGAAACCCATCCCCACCATCCCACACCATAGGCAGAATTTTAGAAGAACGTATGGGAAAATAGCTCCATGACTCAGCCATAGCAAGAATATATAAAAGTGTGAGAGAGGGTTTTGAGTGAAGACTTATCTTCCCTGTATGGGACAGATGTGTAACTATACTGTGAATCTTCCAACCTTCTGATCTCCAGCCTTAGTGACGGAGGAATCCTTGCACTTCATGCAGCCTAGAAGTGTCTGTCTCCTGCCTGGGAAATCTCAGGTAGCCCCAGGCAGCAGGATACAGGCATCTGCTCTGGGATGACATTGCACCCCAGGGGCTATCCGAACAATGATGCGTGATTATGTGCTGTGAAGGTGTGGATGAAGGTGGTGCAAAAAGCAGCAGCCGTTGGAAGTCCTGCCCGGGAGCGATGAGTGCCTGAGAAGCCAGGGCTGAGAGAGGCAGCTGAGGATCTCAGACTCAGCTGAACCATCCTTCCACCCGGCCCAAGAGGTATGACCTGGTGGCCAACTCTCACCTGAACCTGAAGTTAGGAGCTAGGGGAAGCTCCATGAGCAAAGAGGAGAGTTCTGTCTCACCCCCGCATTGCAACTGGCCAGCACAATGTCAGCTCCAGCTGAGAGGGGCTGGAGAAGGCTTGGTTTGGATTCAAGTTCATTTTGGTTCCTACAAAAAAAGGAGACATTCTAGCTACAAAACGGAGATTCTATTTGTGATCACAAAGGATCACAAGAGTTGATTTTGTTCGTTGTTCATTTGCTTGATTTCACCTGGGAATGAGTAGAAAAATCTTCAGCCTGCTGGAATGTTCATCGAAGTGCAGGGAAAGAACCACTCGTCTCTGAATATTTGTGTTTTTCTTGAATATATTTAAAAGAAAGAGAGAGAATATTAATAGAAGGTGGTGCTTGTTTAAGATAGAAGCACCGGTCACTTTGTATACACCTGCTTATTTGTTTACTGTCTGTAGACAGTATTTCCAGAAGTATTCAGCCCCGAGAGAAAAGCGATTTGTCCATTTGGTTCACTGCTATTTCTCTCTATTTCCTGCAACAGAAGTGCCCAGCAAAGGGTACAAGTTCAATCAACCTTTTCTGAATGAATGAATGAATGAAATGAGTTTACTGCTGGACTTACCTTTGCTGGTCTGAAATGCATACTTTTATAAATGTATGGAAGTCAAGGTTTGCGAAACACGTTAAATAAATAACTGCAGATGATAATGGCAGTTCAATCTATAAATATTTACTGAACACTCATTAGGAGCCAAGGGCTGTGAAGGACAAAAAGAGTTTAAGTCTCCTCCAGCAAGGGAGAAAAACATGTACACTCAAGGTTATTTGGAGCTTTCTATAACCTTCCATCAAGCAGGAAGTCCTGTGCATTTAACTACTGTGTTGGCTGTCTTAGGTTTTGTACTGCGACCTTAGATGAGACAAAACACACACATGCACACACACACACACACAGAGAGAGAGAGAGGAAAAAGAGAGACAGGAGGAAAGAAAGAGGGGAGAAAATAGAAACACCAAAGCAACGTTGACCTTGCTTTGTAACCACATTCATATATGCATTGCAGCAATGACAGTAAAATGTACGCAGAGAGGCTGCAGCCGGTCAGTGTGTTCTTGGCATAAAGCGATGTATCCTAAGCTCTTTCTCAGCGATGCCAGGTGCAGTAGCTTAACAAAGCTTCTCCCAAGACTTTTCCTTTTTTTTTTTCCCTTAAGCATCCAATGTATTCTGAGTCCCTGGAGTCATCACTAAAAATACATGCTATATATTCCTTTCTGACTTGTGAAGTTATTTACACAGAGCATCTTCCAAGGTAAACAATTTAAATCATGTGTAGTAACGCACTTGATGAATTATCTTTCTAAAGGCTACAGAATCTGCAAATAATTTGAACTTTTCTCTATTGAGAAATAATTCTCTGATTGGGCCAAAATGTTAGGAGATTTATTTTAGAAGTTAAGCTGGATTCATGTAAGTAAACGCAGTAATTCACACAAGTAATTCGTGTAAGTAAATACAGCCACCGGAATTGTGTAGAAGAGTATCGAACAATAGGGAACAGTGTCCATGGGGTGCTGTTGAGAGAGCAAAAGCTTTGGTGTGATCCAGAACAGTGTTTTCATACTTTATTGACAGTGCTCCGTACTCAGAAAGGTATTAGTGACACGTGCACAGCCCCCAGCCCTGCCCCCTGACACACACCTGAGATAGAGTTTCACGATACCAAGACTCTCTTTTCTTATTTCATTTTTTTCATTTAATAGGAGTTTTATGAAACCTCTATTCTCGTCTCTCATCTGTTCCTTTTTAACGCTGGTCACCGCATCCGAATCAATCTCGTGGCATGCTAATGTGGGTCACGACCTGTAAGTTGAAAGGCACTGACAGAGAAGATGAACAGCAACCACCCTACCGAGTGAGTGCTACACCACATCAATTCACATGAATTAAAACAGCTAACTTGGCCACAACCCTATCATGCAGTGATGACTTTTAGTCCATTTTATACATGAGGTAAGCATGGCAGAGAAAGGTAAAATCACTAATACAAATTGTTGAAACTGGAAAGTCAGATGGCAAAACCCTTCGCCATTCTTGTCTCTCCAGGTATATTGCTTGTAATATTACATTTGATCAGTCCTTAACACGTATGGAAGAACAAAGTCTGGAGATCCGCACCAGAGTGGAGCCAGGGGTTGTCTCCAAGGAATATATGTATTTCCACTCTTTTAAAATTAAAATGATACTTTGGCAATAAAATAGTTTATGGAATTTACCTGATCAATGTTTTTATTGATCTATTTCTGAATTTGGTAACGATGTTGTTGGAAGAATTCATCTTGTTAAACATATTTTTATTCTTCTAAATGTTTCTAAATATCCTCTTGAGAGTCTCTAAGCAATTTAGTTATTGAGAGAGGTTTTATAAAATGATTTCCATGATCATTGACGGCTCCTCCGACTTCCGAGGGTTGTTAATCAGTAGAAATCAAGTGTCAAGGTCAGAGCTCTTGTTCATTAATTGAGGGGAATTCACACATGTTGTTTGTAGAATATTATGTATGTATGTCATTATGAAAATTATGAGGACCCTTCTGCTACCTCTGAGGCTGATTTTGTCCTTGCCAGTTTCACTAGGAAGTTCTGGTGTAGACAGGGGTTAGGAAAACAAATTTCATGTAAAAGCATCGTCCTTCGTGTTGCAGCTTAGGTATGCTTCTCCAGTGAGATCTTCCTCCGAGAAAATGCCAGAGTCTACTATTGCACATCCCACAGGGCTGCACATTTCCCCTTTTAGGTAATCATCACACTCAAAATAGTTGGTTTAAAAGCCGCCTTCACGGCTTTCTGAGGGCAGAACTGTGTCCCTCTGGCTCCCACCTCTGGTCCCAGCCCTTTCTCATTATCTAGTGAGTCGTAGTGACTCAGTAACTCCTTATCAAATGAATGAATATGTGTATAATGAATGTTTCTACAGATGAACGAATAAATAAATGAAACATGAGAAACACATATTTTAAATTCCCCTTATTTTCAGGGAAAGTACATTGAAGACCATGCTTTCAACTGAATGCTGCAGGATTAATAGAGGCTTTCAAATTTGCCCTCCAAGGACCACAGCAGTGGTTTCCAATTTACTCAAGCTTGAGTAAGGAAGACCATTTGTAACATCAAAACTGTACATACGTCTTGACCTGATAGAAAATAACTTCCACCATCTATGAACAAGAAGCCCTCATAAGCATAGGTGTTCTCACACACAGTGACTTCCCAGTCCCCAGGGGTTCGTAACCACAGCATGAACTCAAGAAGACTCAACAATCTAACTTCCATTCACCGGTTGAACTTCATCCAAATGCAATCAATACCTTTTCTCAACAACTTTCTTCCTGAATTAGAGAAGAGTAACTTTAAAAAGCTTCAACCTTTTTGCCTTTATGATTGATATTGGTACAGGTGTAAGTAATTCCACACAAGACGTGGTTACTAGTAAGTGGTGCTCATCCATTTTTGGAAAATGTAACATAGAAAATAATTGCAGCATTTTGAGAAAGCATTAAATTAGATGTCAGATATGGAATATTGGGGGAAAAGGGTCAATTTAAAGAAGTCCTTTAAGGCCGGGCACAGTGGCTTAAGCCTGTAATCCCAGCACTTTGGAAGGCCAAGGCTGGCAGATTGCTTGAGCACAGGAGTTAGATACCAGCCTGGGCAATATGGCAAAACCCTGTCTCTACAAAAAATATAAAAATTAGCCAGGCATGGTAGCACACACCTGTGGCCCCGGTTACTCGGAAGGCTGAGGTGGGAGGATCACTTGAGCCCAGGAGGTGAAAATTGCAGTAAGCCCAGTTCACACCCCTACACTCATGTCTGGGGAACAGGATCCTGTCTCAAATAAAAAAATCCTATAAAATAATGTTTCAACTCTCATATGCTACTTCAAGATTGCACATCAGATTTGCATGTGTCTAAATAAGACGGTTGGTGTACTGCACATTTTAACAGAGAACAAAATTATGCTAACATCTTTCTATTAAAATTATAAAAATCAATATTATCAAAATTAAATCTAATTTTTAGAAGATCAGATATGTTACTGACATATGGTTGTCCCACTCATGTTTAAGAGCTTCCTTATTAACTTTTAAACTAATATATTGGCTTCTGTGGCTAGATGTTTTGTTTCACAATGGCTAAAAGTAAAATGCCATCAATTCCTAAAGTAAAATATTTTGAGCTTTAAGAGGAAACACATATGATAATTCTGTGTTTTGTTTGTAATAATGAAAATGTAAGCTTAAAGATGGTGAAAATGTACCTAGAATTTGTGGTGCCCTGGAAGCTGACTCACACCAGCTTGTGGGAGCGGACCGGACACACATCTTCCTGGTGACGTCACGTTGGTAGACTTTAATAACCATATTTGGAGCATTTATACCATGGATATCGGCAAATTCTATAAATGAAGACACCTTTTTTTTGGAGAGCTGGTTAATATACATTTGCTCACACAGCAGTAAGTACAATAGAAAGATCTGTGACCATGGTTGAGTTTTGCAGGATAGAGTATCATTTCCCATGTTCTTGGCAACAAGTCTCAGTTTATGGTCTTATCTCAAGAAAGGTACTCATGGAAGCACCAGACACTAGAGGCTCCACAGCTAAGTGAGCTCCTCTGATCAAATATATTGTAAGTCATGCTTCCTGCCTGAGTCATGCTTATCTCATAAGTGAAAAGACAGATTGCCATGTCTCTTTTAACGAATGTAATTCTTTTGGCAAAGCTTTTAAAAAGTAAGTCTTTAGAAAATTATCATTTATAGATATTTTGACATGAAAGTTAAAAATGCAATGATATATTTTCAAACCTTTCAAGTGTCTTTGAACTCTGGCAAAGTGATCTGGTAATACAGCTGGAAGTGTTCCTTGCTGATGTTAGCCTGTGCCCATATCTCTACTGACCTATGGCCACAATTTCTCAGCTTAGTGTACCAGTGCAAGGCCTGTAGCCTTCAGCTACTAAAATAGCATATCTACACCTGAACACTGAGCATGTATTAATTTTAGTAATCATGTGCTCACCTTAACTGGTGAATTGTCACTTATTAATGGGCATTAATGGTCAATGACTTATGGTTAGATTTATATGATTACCATATAATAAAATCTAGCTACTTCTAGAAAACTCTGGAAAAAAAGAGCTATCTTAGAAAATCAGAATACATGGTCATTCTGTTTAGAAGAGTTATGCTATTGGAATTCAAAGGACCTGCCTGCTGTCTTAATAAGACAACAACCTTATTCTACAAAAGAGTGTTGATATGGGACAGGCGGCTCCTCTTACAGTCTAAAATCCTTCTCATCACCCTCGCCACCTTCTCTGCAGGAGGTGTGGGAAACATTCTAACGTTTTGCTGTAACTCTCCTGTGAAAATATTTGTACATTTGAAGGTGGATAGTTCTTAGGAAACTGTCTCTATTTCTTCACTTATAATTGATCTGCTTATAATTTCTCTCTTAGGGTAGATTTTAATTATTTATATTTTATTAAGAAATCACTGTAGAGATTCGTAAATTTACTTGTGGAAAATTACATATGGCTTCTTTAGGTATTTTTCTTCAGATGCCTGTATCTTCCCTTTGTTATGATTTCTTTAGCTTTTTTCTAATTTCTTTACTAATTTCCTGAATTAGATACTGAAGTAATATATTTTGTATAAATTTTGCTTGTTTATTAGCAAAACATTTACAACCATGAAGTTTTCTCTGACAACAGCTTTGTCTTATTGAATCAAATACAAAGTTTCATTATTGTTATTTTCTATATATTGTGAAAATTGGTTTTAATTTCCTCTTAGAGTTGTGCTGTTATATTAAAATTTTTGGTGATACATTTTTTTATATTGTTTTTGTGTTCTATTTGAGACATCCAGACATCTTCTCTCTTTTTTTCAAGACGGAGTTTTGCTCTTTTTGCTCAGGTTGGAGTGCAATGGCACAATCTTGGCTCACTGCAACCTCTGCCTCCTGGGTTCAAGCGATTCTCCCGCCTCAGCCTCCTGAGTGGCTGGGAGTATAGGCAAGCACCACCGTGCCCAGATAATTTTTGTATTTTTATTATAGACAGGGTTTCGCCACGTTGGCCAGGTCTTCATCTCCTGACCTCGTGATCTGCCCTCCTCAGCCTCCCAAAGTGGTGGGATTACAGGTGTAAGCCACCGCACCTGGCCTAATTTTGTATTTTTAGTAGAGACAGGGTTTCATCATGTTGGCCAGGCTGGTCTTGAACTCTTGACCTCAATTCATCTGCCGGCCTTGGCCCCCTAAAATGCTGGGATTACAGGTGTGAGCCACTGCGCCCGACTGAGACATCTTAAATCTCATTTTATCTTGTCACTTGTCTGTCAAGATGGTATAGTGGCTACCTACTGACAACAGCATTTGTCATTCAGCAAGTAACTATCCAACACCTACTGTGTTCTTTCTGTTGTGAAAAGTGCTAGAAACAAAATAGTAAGAAAATAGAGATGAACCCTGATCCCACATCATTTATACAAGGGTGGGAGACAAAAGACAAAGTATCTAAAAACACAATTGCAGCTGTACTAAGTCCCTGATGCTGTGATTACATAATAGGGAATACGACGTCCTTAAGGTGACAAAAAGGCAAGGCACTGGTGTTAAGTTGAGCTCTGAAGGATGATACAGGTGGTACAGATGGGAGTGTTCCAGCAGAGGTAACACACAAGCTCCTGGAGTAGGAGGAGGAGGGGCTGCTCAAGGAACCAAGATAAGATGACATGGCTGCAAAGACCGAGGGGCAGGATGCCACGAGATCAGCTGAGGAGGGAGGTAGGAGAACCACTTGGACAAAGAGTGGGTGTTGGAAGACTGGTTGGAGGCTATTGCAGGGGGACAGTTAATTGAGTGATGGTGTCCAAAGAGAGAGAAATAGATAGTTTTAAGACTTATTTAGGAAACAAATGAGAAACAGGTTATGTGTTGCACTATCAATGAATGGGGTAAGAGTAATGGAACAATCCCAAATAAACCTGGTTCCTCAGTCTGATTTTCAGTGTGGCTTCCCTACCCCACTGATCTTACCTACCATGAACCCCAGTATTCTCTCACTAGGAAACCCCATCCTTTCATACGTCCCAAGAACCTCCAATCCAATGTCTATGTCCACACTTTTTCCCTTGTCTTGAAAGTGTCGCCCCTGGGCACCCATCCACATCCAAGAGAGGTGAGAAAACATTTTTATATAAATGGATGTGTTGTTTTTTTCTCACAACTTCTTTTCATCTTGTGATCCTTCTCCTATTTTGTCAGTATATTTAATGCTTCATGGAAAGGATATTCTAGCAGGAAACAGGCTTTTGCATTTCAAAAGTTTAGGCCTTGGAAAGAGTTATAGAAGAGATCAGTGACCTCTAAACAGGAGCGTGCAAGCCAAACCACTGGAATGTGGGAAGAAAATATTAACTTTGCTAATATTGTAAAAGGATTGACATTGATACCCATATGAGGTCACATCTTGGTTAGTGCAGTAACCTGTGAGAAGGTGAGTGGGATTTATCAGCCAGTGAGTACGGGCCACTCTAATTTTTTCTTTCACTGCATGCATGTATTCTAGTTTTTTGGTACTGGTTTAATGGCCTTTGAATTACATTTCTCAAACTTAACTGAGCCAGCCTTCCAAAAAATGGACAGTCAGCTTTAAAAGATTTTTAAAAGGAAATTTGGGTTCAAAAATAGTACTATGGTATATTCACAAGACAGAAACAAGGAAATAGCAGAGCCGACACATCTATTCCCAGGATGAGTTGTCAGCTACCTCATGAGTTTAAAAAAGATAATTTGATCAGAGCTAAAAAAAAAAAAAGTCAGCCAAACTATTTTGAAGTTATTAAAACTGTTGGAAATATAGATTTAAATCTAACACCATTAGCAGTAAACATAAATATGTATAATATATAATCTCTTGACATAGCAATTAATAACGATGATCTAGTATATATGAATGTATATAGTTTTTCAGAGCATGCCTTTTTATTGATAACTGTTCAAGATCAAAAACAATGTACAAGGCTGAGCGTGGTGACTCATGCCTGTAATCCCAGCACTTTGGGAGGCAAAGGTGGGCAGATCACTTGAGTCCAGGAGCTTGAGCCTGAGCAACATAACAAGACCCCATCTCTAAATTTGTTTTGCAAATTACAACATAGAGAATATTTGATGAATCATGGCATAACTCTCCATTCACTGAGCCTATAAGATATTCCCCATATCATGGAAGTGAGAGGAGAGTTTTAAAAGAAGTTAGGGCTTAGACTCTGGTGTACCTCTGTGAAAAAAGGCCCATATCCTGGCTCTACCTGGGCGACTCTCATAGATAGTGAGATGACTCACTTGCTGAGCACTGAGAGGCTTGTGTTTGTTAGTGGAAGCCTAGAAGAGCTTCACAGATTGCTTGGATTCACAAAGGGGTGTCAGAATCACAGAACTAGCTCCATGCACTTAGGAGGGAGCACTGATATAGCAAGAAGAGTTGCTGAACCAGAAGAGGTTTTAGCTGAAAAGCGAGATGCTGCAACAGCAACCTGCAGTGAGCAGAATATGGGAACTGGACAATCAATGTCACATTCGTGGCTCCCAAACATCCATGTCTTAGATTAACTTCCAGTCATCTGTTTCTTCCTGTCTGGACTGGAATCTTCTGGAGATTCAAGTGATTTATTAGAAATGTTTTTGTACCTTCAAAGTACCTAGAGCATTGATTGAGACACATAGATGCTCATTTAGAGCTGACTATTAATACATTGACCTTTAGAAGTAACCAATGTATTATCCATCTATTCCAAATGCTATAGATGATGTTAGTTCTGAGAAGAAACTAACCAGCAACAGCCACTGATTTGGCTACAGAATCCATCATATTTATTGATTCCTTGCATTTAATAAGAATCTACAAATGGGCAAACCCTCAGGAACAGTTCTTAATCCAGAAGAGCCTTGGTTTTAACAGTGCAACTATTGGCGTATAGAGCCCTAGTAACTTTAGTTTAAGGTCATCTAAGGGAAGGAGTGACAGAAAACCAGATTTTTCATCTTTACTATTTCTAGGCAGAAACTGAGGTAGTGGTAGAATGTTTGGATTTGAAATGGAACCACCAATTACTAAAAACAATTAATAAGCAGCATATATATGCTTATTAATTTGGATACTGCTTATTAATTATTTTTAGTTTATTATTGATGGTTCTCTTTTTAAAAGCAAATGAAGTAATATTTTCAGTGTTCATTACCTTCTCAAGAGAGAGACAAACCTACTCCTTGATACTTTATATAAGATATCTGCTTCGAAAACAGCTTTTGTCTAATTTGTCTCTATTACACTAATTGCTTGTGATTTTACATAATCCCATACAAGTATCACTGGTAGACGACCTGATGCAACACAGTTTGAGAATGTGGCTTTTCTTTCATTAAGATAATTATACACACCAGCTTTGGAGAAGACAGCAGTTTGAATTAAAACAGTTCCGATCCCATCTTAAAGTTTCCATTAAATTATACGTAAAATACCAAATAGGAAAAGCCCTACAAAAGCACCAGAAAAAGTTGGGATAAGAAAACTATATGTACTAGAAGGTAGTCAGACTGTACATTTTGTTCTTTATACAGAATCAGTCTTAACCAAGTCCCGACAGAGAAGTGGAGTTGTGAAGGGATGGGCCCGCTTGCTGGGACTTGGTAAATTATCAATTCTCAATCAAGTCAGGTTCTGTCTTACAGATATACAGCTTCTGTTTCAATCTGCTAGCAGAGCAAGGGACACATACTGTGAAAAAGCACCCATGAGGAAAACTACTTTTTTGAGGAAAGGTAGGAGAAAGACTACAATATAGCAAGACAGCTCCAAGAATTTCAGGGTTGCCTAGTCATAAAAGTAAATGGACAGATGATTCTCGCTCTTGAATCTGCAAAAGAAGGCATAGCTTTGATCCAAAATTGTACCAATCTTCACTGTGATTCTCCTGCTGCAGCTTGCAAGAGGCTCCATTGGACATTCATTTGTACTTGAGACTTCTGGAGTTTCCTTGAGTAACTTCATTAAGGAACAAGTATTTGCATTTTTGTGGGTTTTACCTGCCACCCTCTGTCTTACATGTGTCTTACAAAGATATTTAAAGTACTGGCTAATTTCTGTCCATCAGGTACAATCAGAGTAGTAGTGGGCCAGGGTGATGTTTGTGGAATGTCAAGATGATTAAGTTCTCTGAGGACTATATTGTGGCAGAGATCAGGAGAATCAAAATCAATTTGAGGCAAGGCTGTTAAAATCTACTGTTCTTCCTGCCAGGTGAAAGCAGTCTTCTTCTGGCAGGCCTTGAAAACTGGCATTGAAAGCAAAATATTTTGTAGAAAAATACCTGAAAACCAGTATCCCATCCTTGCTTGAATGTCTGTCTCCTAAGACTACTACTAATAATGTATTACTTAGGCATTAGTCATGAAGGTAGAAATCATAATAGGTATCT